GGGGGGGGGGGGGGGGGTGTGCGGCCGCCAGTTTCAGTTTGGTTCATAAGGACACGGAACACCAGCAACTTTCTCAATGGCCAAGGGAAAGTTGGGGACTAGAGTGAATGCAAACTTACTCAGCTACTATACTTTAGCACAAATTGGAGGTATTTGAACTTTGTTCCAGTTTTCTGGAAGAAAACTCTGTACAGCAATGATGGAAAGTACCTAAGTAGGCTACATTTCCTCAGGTACAGCAGTCTACTTAAGTAGAAGTTTGAGTTACTCCTTCTTTGCTTGTGTATTTCCACATTATGATAGTTTACAATTATACACTCCATTTACCTGACAGCTGTGGTCACTAGTTTGCAGATTCAAACCAAATATCATCAACTAATGAGTACTGACATATAAGTTAAGATACAACTTTTTGATCTCTGGGCAAACTTCACAAACTACTCAGCAGTATATAAAGTTACATTAGTTCCACTTTCACTTGCCTATAGCCTACCAGCTGCAATATTAAAGTGTTGTACAGTGGATCAGTAATTGTTATAATGAAATAATATCCATCATTCTGAAAATCAGTCATTCTGCCTAATCAATTTACTGTAACAGAGTATTTTATTGCCACTTTTACATGAGTAAAATAGCGTCACTTTGTCCACCCCTGATTCCCATTTTTGACAGTCACTGTAGTTAACTTCATCCTCCACTTACCATTATTTATTCATTTTTGTTTGACTTTCAGTTTACCTTTCTGACCCACTGCTATTCTTGAAGGCGATCAATAGCTGTTTTGCCCACCTCCCTGTGGTGGGATGTGGGAGTCAAGCGACATGTGGGAAAACAACCTCAGATGCCCATCTGTAAACCTCTTTTTCTAACAATATTAAATCCCTTCATATGTTATAATACAGTACACAAGAAAAAGACCGTCCCTCGTTATGGGCATCGGTATTTTAGACCACCGTTGCTGTTCATTCCTTTGTAGCATTTACTTCATAAAATTAAAGAATATTCACCAGGTGCAATGTTGCTGGAGAAGAAAGTGCTCCATCATCTCCCCCTGCTGGTCCCCGGCAGCTACTGCAGACAGCCAGCCTGGCTCTCTATGACAATGATGACTGATAATCACTTCTATTGGCCAATATGTTACACACACAAGGAATATGTCACCGGCACAGAACCGAGCCAGTCACACACAAGCTTGTACTATCTTTGTGAGGACACTCATTGATATAATACATTCCCTAGCCCCTTACCTTAACCATCCGAACTAAATGAACTAACCCTAACCTAACCCTAAAACCAAGTCTTAACCCTCAAAAAGCTGTGCTGAGAAGTGAGGACCAGACAAAATGTCCTCATTAATGTAGCAAAAAAGACTTTTTTGGTCCTTACTATACTTACTATATAGCAAGTACTAGAACACACACACCTGGAGGCACATTTGTGTTTATATATGTTGTATATATATATATATTGTGTTTATATATAGATAATACAACCCCAAGTCAGAAAAATATGTGTAGAGAAAAGGCATTCTAAACAAAGAACTTACTGAATCTGCCATTTATCATTTCATTATAGGCTGCTTCATTGCTTTATTGTCAAACATTAATCCTTTTACCTCACTGGGTCTGCTGATTAAATCAAAGGATGTCAGAGGCTTGGGGGGAAATCTCTCTGCAGCAGTTAGTTACCAAGTCATCTGAAATGTGAGCAGGGGCTTCAACAAGACACATTTCTGTAAGTCAGCTTAGAATGTTAGTCTGAAAAGAAATTAACTACGCCAGGTGAAGAATGCCACAGATCAAAAAGTACAACTGTGATGGAGATTAGCCTCCATCCTGTGTCATCATTTAGGATAATCCACTTTAAAGCTGTAATCCTTAAAACCTGAGTTGACTTGACAACAGCTGCACTTACTAAAAGCATTTCAATAACAAGTCCCACAGTTTCATTAAAATTAGTTCTCTTCCCTAAATACTGCAGTATGATTGTGATAAGGCTTCTTTGACATATATGTCCTTATCCGTTACCATCACTGCTCCTCTATCAGCTTGTGTTTTAATAATCTACTCATTTTTGACTAATAGTCCAAAGCCTGTTTTGGGGATCTGGTCCAATTCTCCCTACCAATCTCATAAGGTGTAGGTTTCTTCTTCTGCTCACAGAATGGGCTCTTAAAAATCACCTCTTCCTTCCCAAGACCAACTATATGAGGAAACCTATGTCCTTCTGCTATTTGGCAGCATGTGGCACAGTGTTGGGGATTACACCCTGAGGCAGGCTGTTTGTGCTTTATATGAACATGTACTGTACACGCAGCCACCTGAATACCGGCTTTTACTTTTGGCCAAAGAGTGCTCTGGGTCTTTCTTCTTTTAGAACTTTGGTGTCCCCACCACAGACCACCTTCATTAGTCTGAATTTCTACTACTCCAGATTTAGTTTGTCTTTTCTGAGTAGGCTACAATATTTTCAACTGCAATGTAAAGACACAGGTATTTACTGTGAGGTAGCATAAAATGAACATTCCCAAGTAAGTTACAAATTCCTGAAAATTCTACATTGGGTTAGTACTTGAGTAAATGTACTTTCCAGCAGTGTATACATCTTTCCAAATATTTTCAGTGGAGCCCAAGTCCAACTTCTGGCTGGGCCACTAAATTAAATTACACTTTTTAATGTGTTACATGTATTACTTACAAACTTGTTTCATGAGAATGATAAAGTTGTTTAGGTAATAAAGCATCACAGTCACAAAGAGTTTTGAGCTTTAGCTGGTTTTAATAAAAAGTGTAACAGGGGTTGGTGAACCAAGCGCCTCTGTAGCACTGCACTGCTACTGTACATACAAGACAACACCAACAGCACAGTCACTGCTAACACAAAGGTTCCAGTCAATACAGTCATCAATATATAATGTATATATTGTTTAATCAATGGTTCTGGGTCACACTGTAGTGGGCTCAAAATGGGGACATTGCTCTCTCTGTGTGGATGTCAGAGAATTTAGATTCAGGTAGAGGCTGCTCTGTTCCTCACAACCTGCTCTCTGTTCCACGCTGGATAAGCTTTGGGCCAGTGAGCATGAGCTGTCTCAGATGTCATCCAAGTTAACGAGACCAAAAACCTCAAAAAGAAGTGGTGTAAATAGACATCCATCCATCCATTTTCCTCCGCTTATCTGGAACCGGGTCACGGGGGCAGCAGTCTAAGCAAAGATGCCCAGACTTCCCTCTCTCCAGACACTTCCTCCAGCTCCTCCGGGGGAATGCCGCGGCGTTCCCAGGCCAGCCGGAGAGACATAGTCCCTCCAGCGTTTGTAAAAAGACAGTTTCATTATTTTTACACCACATGTCTAAAATAGAGCATTCTTGTCCTGTGAGAGGCTCCATGGTCCAGGTACAGAGGTCCTGTGAGGACTGGTGTGTGTACAACAGACCTGGTGGCCAACAGGTGTTTCAGACAGATCGGAGACCACACAGGGACATCGGAGGGCAGGGATCATCAGACTTTTGACAATCTCGATCTTTCACTTGAGAGAAAAAAAGCCTTGTTTGTGACACCACCAGCAACCGGATCATCCGAGACCTGCAGAGTGAACAGTGTTGCCTGTGGGGGGAGGTACTAAGGCTCAGGCTTCAGCAACAACCCTGTTTTTTCTACTGATGGTTCAGATCTGAGGACAAAACCAGGCATCCTCTTGTAAAGATGGCCCTAGTCTTTAGCATATTGAGACCAGCCTATTAATGCCAGACTAAGTTTTTTTGATTTCTAGTGATCAGTTTTCTCTAGAAGAGAAAAGACATTGGGCATCAAACAAGAACCACTCATACAAAAAGATTCACTCTTCAGTGGCATGTACAAGTGATTTAATCACATTTGTGCCATTCACCAGTTATACCATATCTTTCTCTCATGTACTTAACAAAATCCACATGTGGTCCAGACCTGTCACGTACAGATCCCCACAGGGAAGCACACTCATTTGACCTAATGACAACATGTAGGTGGCGATATTAATCTTGGATTGATATTTTAATTATTTCAGGTCACCTAATGCCACTACACTGACACACTGAGTTATGACTTGGGTAACCTCTTTGTGAATGAAGTGTTCCCAAAGTAGTTTTATGAGTTCTCTGGACTTGAGAAAACAAATAAGTTTAAGATGTTAAGTTGAACCAACAACTGCTCAGTCACGCTGACATACAGTACTGTATGTTACACTAGAGTAAGCTGTGTTCAGACTAAGTGCAGTGAAACACAAGCCTTGGCAGTGGGGCTGCAGGGAGTGTGTCACATAATGTAGGCATAGGTGATATGGCCATGTTATGATGAGCTGTATTTGCATTTCCAGTCCACGAGTTTCCATTGTGTTTTGGTTTGCCATGTTGCTACCCAGTTTCTACAATCCCTAATCAGAAGAAGTTGGGTTGGTATGTAAAATCAAAATTCTAAATGAAACTAGTGATGTGTAAATCATCTGTGCCCTGTATCACATTGAAAACAACACAGCACATTATTTGATGTGATACCTCATCAGTTTTATTCTTTGTTCAAAAATAAATACTGACTTCAATCCTGATGCTGCAACATATTCCAGACAAAGTTGGGAGAGTGAAGAGGACAACAAGTGATAAAATGTGTCAGGTTTCATTTTGTCCCTTTCTTCCTGCAAACAGGTCTTAAGGTGCACAACAGTCCTGGGTCTTTGTTGATGCTATTTCTATTTCAAAATGCTCCACACATTCTCTACTGGGGACAGGTGGGGACTGCAGACAGGCCAGTCCAGCACTCACACCCTTTTCCTCCACAGCCAGGCCTTGGTAATGTGGCAGGATGAGGTTTTGCATTGTCTTGTTGAAATATCCCTGATAAAGACGCTGTCTTGAAGGCAGCATATGTTGCTCCAACATCTCTCTGTATTGTTCAGCATTAATGGAGCCATCACAGACATGTGAGTGACTTTTGCCCAGGGCACTGACACAACCTCAGACCATGACAGATCCTGGCCTTTGGACTTGTTGCTGGGAACAGTCTGGATGGTCCTTTTTGTCTTTGGTCTAGAGCACACGGTGTCCATTCCTTCCATAAAGGCCTGAAATATTGATTCGTCTGACCACAGTACACGTTTCCACTGTGTGATGGTCCATCCCAGATCATCCTGAGCCCATGTGGTTATATCACTTATAGAAGAGTGATGATTCTTGATGCGGTGCCGTCTGAGGGATCAGAGAGCTCAGTCATCCAGCTTAGGCTCAGCCCTCGGCCTTTACACACTGAAATCCCTCCAGATTCCTTGAATCTTTTAATGATGTTCTGCACCGTAGAGGGTGACAGATCCAAATCCCTTCCTGTCTTTCTTTGAGGAACATTGTTTTTAAACATTTCAATAATTTTCTCACTAATATGTTGTCAAACTGGTGGTCCTCGGCCCATCTTTGCTCCTAAGGGGCTCAGCCTTTCCTGGATGCCACTGTTGTACCAAATCATGATGCAGTCACCTGTTGACATCACCTGTTTCAGATGGAATCATCATTTCATTGTTTTACCTCATTACTGGTCTTGAAATGTAGCCAGCCCAACTTTTTTGGAATGTGTTTGCTGGGACTGGCTTCAGTTCCCACACCTGCGACCATATTCAGGAATAAGCGGTATACTGTAGATAATGGATGGATCACATTAAACAATGTGCTGATGTAATGTTTTCAATGTGATACAGGACACAGATGATTTACACATCACCATTTTCAGTTTTAACTTTGAGTTTACATAACATCCCTACTTTTTCTGATTTGGGGATGTAACGCCAATGTGTCGGCAAGGATAGATTTAAAAAAAAAACGCCATTTAACATGCAACAACAAAACACAGAGTGCGTTTTTAACTGTGAACCAAATTTAAGACTGAATATCAGTGAATGCTCAAACTCTTGTTTACCATGTAACATGGCAAACAAGAGTTTTCTTTCCATGAGTGTACATGTTCCGACCGCTCCGCGATTGGTCAACGCAGCGTTTTGTTGGATGATGTCACTGTGTGTTTCAGAAAAACTTTCAGCGTTTTGTTGGATGATGTCACTGTGCGTTTCAGAAAAACTAGATCCAACTTCTTCATCACATGGGGTTGCGTCACTTTGCCAGCTGCGGTGAATGCAATCCACCATAGAAATAAATGAAGAAGGCTTTGTTTTTCATACCTTTGAAACTCAGCCTGAACGCAGCTGTAGTTCAATTGACATGAAAACCTTGATGGGGTAGGAATCTGAAATCAACCTTCAGTGGGGTTCAATTTATTTTTTATTATGAAATGACAACCAGGATTATCTTAACAAGTATTAAATAGACACATCAACTTTCCACTAAATGTTCTTTCTCTTCAAATTTCAAAAGAGGTTTTTGGAAAGTTTCAACTGAATGCTGGAAAGTCTGCTAGTATGTTGACCATGGCTGTATCTCAAGTCTCTTATATGATTGTGCCTTGGTCCTCACTTGACTAGAACAACATCCGGGTCAAGCCAGGATCGAGAAAGTCCCAAAACTCTCATGTCCGCTCTGAGAAGCGGGGAGGCTGTGTTGGTGCTTATACAGCAAGAGATTTGGGATGTACCCTATGTTTCTTTATGAACTTAATGCAATGACCTGAGTGGATTCCTAGCATACTGTAGTTCAGTCAATCAACTCATGACAAGGAAAATGTTCTTGGATGAGGCCCCCGTGTGAAGCAACAGATGACACTGTAAAATGTTGGCTTATTGAAGAAAAAAAAAAAGAGATAATGTGTATTTAATCTTTTCTAAGACACTCTGAAAGAACTTCTGTTTGGACCAGCAGACTCCACCACTCTTGACAAGGGCTGAGTATCTGTAGCTCTGGTAGCTCACTCAGTGAAACGTGACCACGGTTTCTTCACAGACCTCTTTTTATTTGACAAAAGAAGCCAAGCTTTTCAAGTGTTAAATGTTGTGTAAACACAACAGTTTTCCCAGAACTGTCTGAATAAAATATTCAAAACTTTGCTTAATTTAGATTGAAATCAGAGACATTTCCGTTAATACCAAAGCCCCAGCCTGGTACTCAGGCCTGCCCTCTAATGGTGGATTTCATCTGACTGACAGCTGGGAAAGGGGGGGTGTCACATGTCTGTCACAACCTTAAACATCTTTTATAAGAATGTGGTGCTCATGCGTAATGGGAGCGTGAGGCATCATCAGGAATGCAGAAAATGAAATCACATTGTTAACTGAAATGGTATGGTTTGTTACCACCACCCCAGTGAAAACTGGTCCGCTTCCATCAGAGCGTATTCAGCCTGCCCAGAGCTGAAATGTTAGAGCGATGCATCTAGCTTAACATCTAAGATCACTCAGCTTGGTTGTGGTTAAAATAACATAGTTGCTGAGATATCACCTTCTTTGGCATTGCATTGATCCCACAAAATTAAATAACACACTGGATTTGGATGCACATTTATAGTTTTCCTTAGCTAAGCTGAAGAACAACTCTGGGTGTATTCATGTGAGAAACAAATACATTCGTGGAATAAGGTTCCCAATGGTACATTCATTAAAGAAGGATTGTCAAAAACGGTATGTAAACTTGGGGGTGGGGGTCAAGTAGCTATGTGCTGCTTGTGAATTAGCAGGCTAGGTTCAAATGTGATCACAGTGTCCTGAGGTCAAATCTTCTCATCTCATCTCTGTCACTATGGCTTTATAATACTCAAAGTTCTTCTAGAACCCGTCTCAACATGAAACATGAAAACCTGAGGAAACTGAAAATAATAGTCCTGAAGAAATGCTCTGCATTTAGAAGCAGAAAACTAAACAGTTTTCTTTGGATGGAATGATTGTGTCTACTGCAAGAAGACAGAAAGAAGCAAAGGCAGCGCCCTCATTTCGAAGCGTGATAACAGATGTTTTGTGATTAAACAATATACTGTGGCTTCACTTTGGGGTGCCATGGTAAGGGCTCTGAATACTGAGATGTTTCAGTTTTTGATTTGTCAAAAACTTTAGATGATTTTTAAAAACCTGTTTGTACTTTGTGGTTATTTGTTATCAAGTGTAGACCAATGGACAATAGTGGTAATTTCATCCAATCAAAATTAAATCAAGTATGCAAAAAGTAAAGGGTCTAAATACTACCTGAAGCCACTGCAGATCTTTTAATCACAAGGTCAATGTACACACAAACAGGAGGGCAATTCTGGTGCACTTATTTCCAGGCTGTATGAGGTTATGCATGTATGTGCAGGGGTGTAAAATACAGAGGAACCCTGAGCTCCAGCAGTGCAACAAAAAGCAATGTAGAGAACCTGGAAAACATCAAAACTGTTACCTCTGGGGTGACTGCCTATTTGCACTCCATTAAAATGGAGTAACTTCTCTAGACCTATCAAATATTGCTACAATAGTTTATATAATGTTGAATGAGAATTATACATTTTTATTCTTCAGCATATTCAGTTTGAAGTAAAACAACAAACACTAAAGTACCAAGTCTCAGCTGTAATTTGAGTCGATTTACATCAGTAGACTACAGAAATACCTGGGTGGGAGATATCACCGTTTAAAAGTAACTGGACAGAGGCACATGAAACCAACAAGATCATCAGATGTAATATTCTGTGAGCTCTTGTCAGATGAGAAGGAAAACAAACAAAGGAAAATGAATCTTGGTATTAAAGTGCAAATAAACCTTATTATAAACTCTTATTGCTGACCTATGACTGACCTCAGTCGGGGCTTCCTGAAGAAGTCAATCATTCCATATTGCAACCACAGGCCTTAATAAGCTCATGAGGATGAATACAAAATGGTTTGCAAATGGCTAATTAATAAAAGCAAAAAGTTAAAAAAAAAAACAGAAAAGAAAACCTAAACAAAACTTCCTCAACTAAATGCCATTTACGGATGGCTCACTTAAGACCATAGCACGAGCTGATGTTGGATCAACCAGCAACACTGTATTTGAGTCAAGCACTTTAGGAATGTGAAAAGAAAGCAACAAAACTACCATTTTTCACTCTGGTGGAAATATTTAGAAAAACATTTTCTCCAGTGTGACCACAGCTACCTGCTTTTACTGAACAACAAAAGACGATTTAACCCTGTGGCTCTGATTTGACAACACACTTTGACATTGGTGCCTTCTGTGTTGACATGATATACAGATGATGTCATGGTGATTGTGTGTATCCTGCTGCTGACTGAGGCTGTGTCAAATCAGAAAGGTCAGACCAGCCATTAAAGTGTTAAATCCAAACTGAAGTGTTTATGGAACCTGAGTTAAGACAGCATGTATCTCAGGAGTGTAAACACAGCCAAATAGGTTCACTCACATTGAAGCATCACCACAGAACCAGCCATAAGAGCCACTTCATTTGGGTTTAACCACAACATTCTTTTGATCATGACAGTGTGAACCAGTATGTGACAGACAAGCGACCTCCCCCGTTTTCATCATCATCAGGAACCAGTTTCATGGATGACTATTACTGTTTCACAATTTAACAGTTTTCAACAGTCTTCAGGTTTTCTATCAAGATCTAAGGGAACAAAATCAAAATTCCTCACTTACTCAGATATTTTAAAGTCTTAAAACTTGACCATCTTAAATGGGTTGACATCAAACATACATAAAGAAGTTGACATAGATTCAGGAAAAATGTTTTAACTTTCCCAATGAAGGACAGTTTATCTACACAGGGTGACTGGGAGTACTGGAGGACGGTTAAGATGATCATCTTTTTACGGAAACAAATTAAAATACCTTCTCAGCTCTGTAGCTCAGCTCAATCCAGCTGCTGTTCTAAAACGGTCTGAACTCAAAATACCACTTTTTAATTTTTATGGAGTACTTAATGTTTTCTGAATATTTTCACACCACCTCCGACTTTGGTCCATCGTATTTACAACATCAGTTACAAATGATCTATTGTCTATGTGTTTTGTATGGTTTCCCAAGGTCTCAAAAATAATAAGTGTTGAATGTTCATAAACAATATTCAAAAATCACTATGTATGTGTGAATACACACTAAGCATTCTAATTCACTCTTGTGTGTGCATGTTTCTAAAGTGTGTGAGGTGCAGGTAGGCAGCTCTGTGATGATTTCATGGGACAAGCTTAAGGGAAGTCAAGCCAGTGACTGATTGGTGGTACTAAATGTTCGCTGGCGTCATCTCTTGGCCAGTAAACACCAAGGGTTAGAAGACCACACGGCCTATAAAGGTTGACAAAGAGGAGGAGGAGGACACAGTTTATGCCATTTGGTTCTTTTTGGAAAAACAGGGGATTCAGCTCCAAATGCCAGGTTGCCTTGAAATCTCTTGATGCGTGGATACATTACTTATTCAAGACCTTTCTCAAAGCGTTACCTGGATGCTGGGATTGTAACAGAAAACTAATAGCTAAGGGTGGAGATATAACCCTTTGGTCCTCAACAGCAATAGGCTTCAAGCCATCCGCCTCTCCCTGTGTGGGAGTTGTGGGGCACTGAGCAGAGACACGTCCTGTCAGGGCCAGACCCCAGACAATGGCTGAAGACTGGGTGTAGTTCAAGTGCCCACGTCTGTGTGGTCATAGATGGCAGGGAGAGACATTTTTCACCCACTGTTTGGGTAGGTAGAGTTTATGTGATAAGCCTACCTTCATTACTATTGAAGGTAGGAGTAGGAGAACAACCTGGTCGTTTGTTCAAGTCTGTTCAAGTTCTTCTCTTGAATTAGTTCTGAACCCAAGCATAGGCTCATGCACTGAAAGAGGATTATGCAGGCATGAGAGTTTAAAACTCTTCCTTGGTTGAGAGTTCAACACCCAACTCGCTGGGTAATTTCTTAATTAGGAAGTGGAGTTTCCTCCTTTGAATAAATTCTGGACCCAAGCGAGGGGTGTGGCCTGATGTCAGGAGTCATCATCGGTGTCCTCTATCAAAACCTTGATGTCACGGGTTTTGGACCTGGAGGGGAAAAGGGAGAATGTGATGTCAGACTCTTAGCACCCTAAAGCACAGGTCAGATTGCAGAAGCCAAATTGCTGACTCACCTCCATACTTGCATCAAAAAAGTTCAGGTTAAGAAAAAGCCCTTACACCTTAGAAAACCTCCTGTGCTTTGGCTCTGGTTTAGACAGAGCTGCATGGTGTTTAATGTTATGTTCAAACTTTAGAAAATACAGTATTTATAGCAAAGTGATTATTTAAAGCTGCCCTAACTCCACATAAGGTAACATTTACAAAACTTTTTTATGACCCAACTGGAAATGAAAAGATGGTTGTTGGCAGGTAACTAGCTCCGCCTGTGTTGCATGGGATGCTACTAGCTACCTGCTTATTATATGAATATCAAGCTAGCGTACCCGTTTGAGATTTTGTGTTGGTTTTTCAGTATGAAATTAACTACCAGCAGTGTGGGGCTATTTGTGTTCACCAATATTATTTTGTTCACTAACATTCTTTTATTCAGCCATTAATGGGAATTTTAAACCATGTTTAATTTTACTTTAAGTACTTTTATTGGCCAAGTATGTTACACATACAAGGAATTAAGCAATGATTGATTAATCATTGACATCCCTATTTAACAGTATTTTGAATTCTATACTGCTGCATTCTGTTGTGCGAGTCCCAAAAAACCACCAATTAAACACAACAGTATGACAGTAAACAGTATGCGTATAGCCACGTTTGCTGTTGGAAAGCACTGTGCTGCAGCAACACAATTGCAAATGGGCAGGCTTTAAGATTACTTTTTAAAAGGCAACACTGAACAATGATCAAGAATAGTTTGCTGCAATTCCCTCTGAAACTCATAAATGTAATATGATAAAGGATCCATCTAAAATCCTAACACCTTGACATGTTCACATTGTCTGGCACAGCCGTTTTTGACTCACTGTGAGGCGAGTCGTGGCCTGCGTAGACTCATGCTGTAGCTCCTCTTCCAGCTCTTCTTGCCCTGTCGGTTCCTCACCCCATCCTCTTGGTCCATCATCTGCTCCAGCAGGGTCTGGTCATCAGCGTTGAGCGGAGCAACACTGATGTCTCTGACGGCCCTAAACTCACCACAGTTATTCAGATGTTCGTTCTCCAATCGGAAGAAGTTCCACACAAAACGCCTGAGAAGGAGAAACACTGACTGTCAGTGGCCAACTCACTTGCATGCTCTAAATCATACACTTTCATGCCTTGAGTTCACCAACAGTCCACATCCTCATGTTGGCTAATCATCAAGACCTGATATAAGATGTGTGGAGATAATTTCATACAAAAAATAATGGTTTTTAATGCTAAATGGAAAGTCTTACAATTTATATAATATTTCCAAGAATAATTCAAGAACCACTTGCATAAAAAAAAATACACTCAGACACAGCAACACCAAACACTAAAATGTCTCCAGACTGTGTAGAGGGTTCAAAGCACTGTATCTCACATTCAGC